GGTGTAATTAATCGAAAGATAATTATTCCTATTAATACTCTAGATTAACAAATTAATATTAAGTGAATTTATTTGGGTAATTACATGCTCTATGAATTAAAAAAGGGATTAGCTATCCTAGGTTGCCTTGATTATTTGTGGTTGTTGGAATTTTAATTTGAATGCATTTTTCTAATTTCAATCCTTATTTTGTAAAAATCAAATCCATATCTTGCTTTGTTCAACTTAAATGAAAATGGGACTTTATTGCCTAATTGCTAATTAACTCATAGGACTGACTTTGATTTGCCACTTACTAATTACGAACCGTACGCTTGCGATAAAACATAATTATGTGCATCAATTCCCTTTTCTGTCATGTGATGAGAGCAAAGAAATCTAAAATTATCACCTTTATCCGATGTAAAACACAAATGATAGAGACACCTACGATAATACAATTATGTTAGTTGATTGGAATTGATAAGTTAATTATATTCAAATAAAACATAATTACATCATAAATAGCTCAATTGACATTGTGGTAAGCTGACTTTTTGAGAGAAGTTGATTCAAGTCTTCCCGTTCAATCACCATTGGATTCTCCATGCCCACAACATCCTTTTTATAATGACCCTAAATTTTAAATTGAACAAAAAATTTTTCCTAATGAATATTTTATTTAAATAAATTTTATATAGCTTATAGGAAATTATGCTAGAAACTTTTGCAAGGAACCAGAGTCTAAATTTTCTAAGTAGAAGTTTAGTTTTAAATTATAGAAAATTTTGTGTGCTTTCTTGTAATTTTTTGTGCCTTTTATTGTAATTTTCTTGTGTTCTTTTTTGTAATTTTTCTCATTTCTTCTTTTTTCTTTGAATCAGCCCATTTACACAATTATAAAATAGAGCATCACTTTCATGAAGGTGGTCGACCTCATAGGCATACTCAGGAGTTTGTATCTGAGGTCAAACCTTTTAACCCTCAATTTCATGAACATGCTTTATCATTTGCACTTGGCATTGAAAGAGAAGCTGTTAGTGCTACTAAAGAAGAGGTTGCCATATCAAAATTGATTGATTTTATTAAGCTAAATCCTCCTATCTTCTTTGGAACCAATGAGAAAGAAAATCTAGTGGCATTCCTTAAGGGCGTTGAAAAGAGCTATCAAACCTTGAGGTGCTTAGATGTACAGTTTATGGAGTTTAATATTTTTCAACTCAGTGGAGTAGCGGAAGAATGGGTTAAAATTATTCCAGGTGTCAAGCATAAAAGTGTGCCATCTTTATCCTTGGAAGAATTCAAAGATGTATTCCTTCAACTTTATCTTCCATAAAGTAAAAGAGATGCCAATATTGAAGAATTTTTAAATTTAAAATGTACTGGACCCGTATTAGAATACGATCAAAAATTTATGGAACATTCCTCTTTTTCTCCTCATATAGTGCCTTTGGAGATAGAAAATATCTACAGATTTGTTCATGGTTTGCCTTGGAGATACATGATTTAGTATTTGTCATGATGAAGCTTTTCACTAACTATTCATAGGCTATAGATGCTGCTTTAATAATTGAGTTAAAACATCAAGAAAACAAGGTGGTTTCTAAGAAATGTAATAGGGGAGATGGTGTGAGATTCCAAGGTTCTTCTGGAAATGATCAATTTCATGGATAGTTTTATTCTTGTGGGAAGTAGTAGATGTCTAGATCTTATATCTCTCCCTTTGTTGGTTCCCCAAATTCTAGATATAGTTTTAGGAATCCTAAACTGCAATCTGAGCAATATTTGAATCATCCAAGTTATGTTAAGGCTCCTGGTACTACTTGTGAGAATTTTCATTCTAAATCTTGTCATGAGGCATCTAGTGCTTATTATGAATGTGGACAGGTTGGTTATTTGAGAAGAAATAGTCCTCTTGTTCAATCAGTGTCTAGCTGGGGATCTATTTGACCTCCTCCCCACTTGATACTTTGGTCGGTGTCCCCTTCTATTTCTACTAATGAGGGTATGTTAGGAAAAGCTCCTGGAAAGTGAGGACAATCTTGAAGGCAAGGACAAGCACATATTTATGCTATGACTTGACAGGATGCTTGAGTTTCAAATGATGTGGTTATAGGTATTATTGTTGTATGTTCTAAAAGCGTGAATGTATTGATTGATCCTGATTCAACACATTCCTATATTTGTTGTACTTTTCTAAGAGATTAGGTAAGGAAACCATCAAACTTGATAATTCTTTTATGGTCACTACTCCAAGAGAAGAACCTCTCCTTGTTAAGTAGGGATATAAATCTTATGAAATATCTCTTAAGGGTAGAAAAACCTTAGTTGATTTGATAATATTAGATATGATTAATTTTGATGTAATTTTAGGCATTGATTGGTTAGTTACTTATCATATCACTGTTGACTGCTACTTGAAAGTGGTGAGATTTGAAATTCCTTGGGAAACTTCTTTTATTTTGCAAGTAAGCCAAATAGAAAGATCAACAGGTTTAATCTCAACCATGAAGGCCCAATGACTTTTGATGAAGGGTTATCAAGAGTACTTAGCTTTAATAAAGGATGTCTAGTAACCAATTTCTAGTTTGGAACATATTTCAATAGTTAGAGAATTTTTTGATGTCTTTCTAGATGAGTTGCCTAGGTTACCCTGAGATAGGGAAATCAAATTTGCTATTAATGTAATTCCAAGTAGTTAGTTGATTTCAAATCCCCCTTACAAAATGGCACCATCTAAGATAAGAAAATAAAAATAAAGTAAATACTCATTGCCTCGTATTAATGAGAAAAACTTTTGTAGTGGATGTTTGGAATTTTTATATTTAAATATGTAAAGCCATCAAACGCAAGGATGGTGAATTTTCAAAAATATGTTTAAGATGGAGGGGATGACATTTCCATGGGCTTGAGGTTAGATGTCCCAATTAAATGGAATTCAACACATACAATGCTTGAAAGTGCACTTAAATATCGTTGTGCCTTTGTTTGTTTAGCTTTATGTGATACTAGTTTTAAATATTGCCTCACAAGTGAAGAGTGGTCTAGAGGAGAGGAGATGTGCAAATCCTTGAAGCCATTTGCAATAATAACAAAGTTGATTTTTGGGTCATCATATCCAACTTCTAACATATATTTCATGCAAATTTCAAATATTGAGTCATTATTAAAAGCAAATTTAGATAATGTTGATCTTGTGATTGGAGATATGGCTTTTAGAATGCTTGTCAAGTTTGATAAATATTAGAGTGATTACTGTGTCATTCTTGCTATTGAGATTATTCTTGATCCAAGGATGAAGTTTGATATAGTGAAGTATTCTTACTCAAAACTTTATCCCATACATTGTAATGAAAAAATTGAATATATTAAGAAAAAATTGTATTATTTGTTCAATGATTATAGAGATGTGGGATCACCATTATCTTCAACTACTAGCAGTAGTATTGGAGGAGAAGGTACATCGAGTTCTAATGTGTTGGGACCATCATTATTGTCATCATATCAATCTACCATTGATTTGGTAGGATTAGAGGAAGATAATTACATGGTTGCTTTTGCTGCAAGTTTTAAATATTTTTATATTTAAATATGTTCTTTTAATGTTATTTGGATTGACAATTTCAGTGATGCTTAATGATTATCTTACTTGCAAGAAACTAGACATTGCATCCATAGAAAAGTCTAAACTAGATTATTACTTGGAAGAATCAACACTTGATCCTAGCTTGAAAAAAATTAAATGTGTTGAAATATTGGAGGACTAACTTGACTCGATTTCCTTATCTTTCAAGAATGGCATGTGATATTCTTAGCATTTCAATTACTACAATGGTTAGTGAATTTGCTTTTAGCATTGGATTGAGAGTTCTCACAATATTGAAGTAGCCTTATTTGTACTCATAATTGGATTCTTGGTTTTCCATGACTCGATAGTATAATATTTATATTCTCTCATTTACCTTCTAGATTTCTAAATGTTAATTATATTTTCATATCAATTATGTTTTATTTTTGTTCATGATAGATGAAGCCATAGAGAAATCTACTCAAATTATTGTTATTGCAGCTTCTAACATTATCATTAATTAGAAAAAATTTTATAACATATTTTACTTCTAAGAGTTTATGCTATTTTGGCATGAAAACTCACTGTGGTTTGGGTTTTCTATGTTCTTTTTATCAAAACTCACTATTGTTATGCTTTTCTTTTTAGCCAACTATTGTCCATATGGTTTAAATGTGAAAGAATATGCTCATAGCTTGATCAATATTCCATATTTACTTCCTCCCTTTCAATCTGTTGATGAGATTTTTCAACTACATGACCAAGTTTTCTAGAATTTCTTGGTATTAATGTTGAGGTGATCAACGGCCCAATTTAGAGAAATTAAAAAATATTCTTTTATTGGTGGGTTAGCCTACAAACCTACTATGGGTTAGCGGGGTAGCCCATATAACCCACATAAGATGCAAGTTATGCCAACCTGCACTGCATAACCCATAATCTGCTATGGCCCAACCCGCGGATTGTGGATTAACCCATATTACTAGCTCTACTATTTGTATTACTGTATAAACTATGAAATTTGTAAGTTTAAAATTATGGATGTCAAGAAAAACAAATAATTTTTTTAAAATCAAACTTTTAACAATGGTTATATAGAAAACCAATGTTAAAAAACTTTTAACATTGATTTTTTGTAACCATTATAGAAAGTGGACTTTTCATGTCATGTAACATTAACAACTGACGTGGAAAGGCCACTTTCCACAAAGGTTATTTAACCAACGTGGAGACTGGTCTTTCCACTACCCTCTTTTTCATTACCCCTTTATAATTGACAAAAAAGTTCAAAATAACCATTGTAAATGGCCAATCCTGTAGCAGTGTTGGAAATGCCTTGACTCATAATGCACAAGATCTATAACTATATGTGTAAATGCTCTTTGAGTCTGAAGGCATGTCTTAGTTTTGATAAGTCCCCAGGACCCAACTCACTTAAACTTTTACGTAGATATAAAAAACTCATGTATAGATGAAGAGATGTGTTTCCCAAGTCCAAAGCTAGTATGATCATAACAGATAACAACTAACAAGGTAAAACAAGACCAAATCAATTTCATCCAAAAAAAAAGATCAAAGTCACAGCAGTAACTAATTTAATTAACAAGACCACGTATGGATGCTTTATTATATGGTAGCTAGCACAATCCCATTGCACATATTTGCTTCTACACCTAACTACCTCTTTGATGATCATCCCACCACCAAGGCCTACATTTGAGCTTCCAACAAGTAGGTTCCTCTCATCATCCTAAATAAAATATAAAATTGATTTGCTTAATTTAATTGATCTTATTTTTTATGATTAAACTGATTAGGAAAAATGGAAAGAAAAGAATAAAAAGAGTGAAAGGGAGGAGATTACTATTCATGCTTTATATAACCTGCAGCATCTTGTTACATTGATAATTGTGAAAATAACAATCTTGTCATATAGAGTATAGAGGAAGTTGAAAAGGTATGCCTCCAAGTATAGTACAGAAGCAAGGGGCTAAAGATGGCCCAAAATCCAGTGGCAAATCCTAAACCCATGCTCATGTAAAATCCTTGGCTCAAAATGGAATCATCTTCCTCTTCTTTTGGTTTCTTAATAGTTGTAGGGCCTTCTAATTCTCTTTCACCAAGACAAACTTTTTTAAGTGGACTGCCACAAAGATTATTTCCTTCAAACATAGAGGCATCAAAACTATGGAGTTGTGTTCCTAATGGAGTTTTTCCAATCAAATTATTATTGGATAACTTCAAGATAGCAAGCCCATTTATTTCTAAAAGACTTGAAGGGATTCTTCAAGACAAATGGTTTCTTTATAGATCAAGAAAATTGAGGGCATGCAACTTTCCAACCTCCCAAGAGATTTCATGTCATGCCCTAAAAATAGGGGGTGACCGGCAGAGGATGTGAACAACATCACACATCCTGTAAGCCACAAATTCAAGATTTATTTCATTTAACTAAAATGTACTCAACTTTTCACTGACCTTTTAATACCATTGATACTAATCATTATAATAATTATTTCAACATTTTGTAAAAATTTTAACAGAACCTCCTTTATAAATAGGATCTCTCAAATTCTGTATCACAAAAAATTTTCCTTAAACAATATATCAATCAGGAGCTTAACTCCTTCTAACCAGGAAACAAAATGTATAATAAACTAAGGACTCTAATTATAAGTTATGTGAAGCATCTAATCATATATCTCATGACATAATACATAAATTTCATATTTGCATCAATAAAACATATTTACAGAACCAACCTCCATTATGCTTTGCAAACAACCATCATTGGTAAGCAAGATGTACAGTGTCAATTATGCTATCTGAGACAAAAATAATTTTTCAGTAAATAATGTCCCAACAATAAATAATTTAACATGAATAAAAAGAAATGTTTGAAATAATCATCTAAGTTAAAGAGACGACAATTTCCATAAAAAAATGTATAAATTTTAGAATAAAATGGCTCTGCAAAATTTTTGAATAAAATCTTAAACCGTTGAACTATCATAGCAAATGTTAATATCACTTGATTTTAAGAAGTCACATAAATAAAATAAATACTTGTAAATAAATTTCTAAATAAAATCAATGGAATATAAAATTACCAAATAATCAGATTCATAATTATAGAAGCTTATTAGAATAATTAACAAACGTGGACACACAGTCCACGAGGATAAATAACCAAACACAGCTTGTGCCATGAAGACAAATGTGGACACATAGTCCATGAAGATAATGCTAACCAAATGTAACTTGAAACCATGAAACAAACGTGAGTACGATGCTCACGAATAACCATCCCTCCGTTCCATGTGCGTTGGCCATCGCACGGGGTTAGCACCTCCTATAAGTACTCAGCTAGTTAGGTAAACCATGGCGCACCAAGGGCTAATGGAACTGCCCCTAGCAACTAGTGTTCTGTATAAAGTCCCCTTCAAATCTATTTTCAAACATGAGAGAAAATCATTACTTTCATAATAAAATTTTTATTTTCAAAGTCAAACTCGCATGAATCATTCTCTATATTAACCTAATGTTCAATAGAATGAAATCTCATAATCAAAATCCAAACTTATATTTATTAATTAATTAAAATTTCAAAATTGATAGATGTAATTTCACAAAATAAAGAAGTTTAATAAACAAACTATTCAATAACCATATCGTTGTTACTAAAACCATTTTGCATAAAAATGTACTATTGTAGTAAAGGAAATCTTTATTGCAAAATCAGTTGGGATACTATCTACTTACTGTAGTGCTTTCAAAGTTCAAAACTCACTTCTTACAACTTCAATCGAGCTACCCTTCACACAACCACCCTATAATAAATAATAAGATCTTAATGAACTTTACTTTTGAACCAACAAGTCTCTCTTTATGAGAATTCACTCAACCAGAATTAGTAATAAAACTTTAAGTTTCAGTAACAAAATTACACATAAAGGTTTCTTCTTAGGCTTTTTACTAAACATATAATGTGCAACATTCCAACCCATTTGATAAAATGTGTAACTTTTAATTCTCTTGGCCCAACCATTTTTTTCAAGCATCTAAGTATGCCTTTTTAAAGCAATAATATACTTTATAAAATTCTAACTTTATTACTCCCAATAATCTAAAGCTAAAATAAGATATCAATAACTTCCTACATAAACTCCTAGGATAAAACCCAATTAAATTTACAATTAACAATGTCAAAGCATTATCATTCATGTCATTAATTTCCTCTATAATACTTTAGCCATACCAACCTATTTACTTGAGATAAAATTTTCTCTAAATCTTTGCATCAAACACTTTAGGTGCATTATTCCAACCATGAAATTAAAATTTTCTAATCTTCCAACCTTTATCCAACAATTTATCAATAACCATACTATCCTCAGGAGTTTAACTAGTTACATATGAATTCATAGTCAAATTCCTTTAATTTGCAACCTACAAGTTAAGTCTATGAATCAATAACACCTAAACTAAACATGCTTTTCACAAGAATTAATGAACTTTTAGAAAAATACAAAATTAAGCAAACTTCTCCTAACAATCATTTTATCAAGCACCTTTTGTGCCTTCACACTTAAACTCAAACCAACTTCTTCCTCTTTGATTTCATCTTCTCAAAACTTCTTTAACATAAATATATAAATAATCAGCTTACTAAATTCCATTTCCTCAAATTGATCTTAACTAAAAGAAAGAAAAATAAATAAATTATTTAATAAATTAAATAAATTCTACCCCTCCACATATCTCACAGCAAAACAGGGCAAGGAATGTCACAGCCACAGCAAAAATCATGAGAAGAATTGAAGCATCTCACCTCACTCAACGTGACAAAGTAAAGAAGCAAGATATCAAGTGGATGAACAAAGCAAGAAGGAAGAAGAATCAGCATATTGAACAGAAAAAGAACTCGAACGATGGCACGTAAATGAGGAGGAGAAGGGATCGGTAGCTTCCACGATCCCCAAAACAGCAGCAACATTATTAGATCTCCAACAACAACACAGCGTTTAACATGCTTACCACCTTCGATTAGACATAATGGAGAAGAAAGGACAAGAGCTCGATGACGAGAAACAAAGGAGAAAGAAGTTGCTGCAAGCTGGGCGGACGGCAGCAGCGCACACAACACCAGCGATGTTGAAGACGACGAAGGGGGAAGAAGAAGATAGAGACGGTAGAGGTGAGCCCCAGTTCAGCTGATTTCTGACTCTCTCTCTCTCTCTCATGATGGTTCTTGAATCTGATCCCCAAATGGAAGAGAAACGTGCTCTCCTCCTTATCTCTTTCTCCCTTTATTTATTTAATTTAACAAAAGGGCATTTTCATAATTTTGCCTTAAGTTAAAGCTAAAAGGTAAAATCCCACTCTTGGCCTCATGAAAATTCAAATTTAGGACCTATCAATAATGTAGTTTGCATAAAGTCCACTAAGCCTCAATTTCCCCTTGATATATTTGCTCTAAAAATAATAAAAATAAACTTTAAACACCTTTTAATAATTTAATTAATTAATTTTATTTTATTATTAGTATTTATTATTATTTTTTTCCTGATTATTACATTTCACCACTTAAATTGTTGATAAATCTAAAGATACTACCAATTTCTTTTGGAATATTCCCAACCAGTGCATTATTGGAGAGATCAATCAACTTCAAGAGTCTTTTGTTGTCCTTGAGTGACATCCACTTTATGACAAGAAAAAAAAAATCATACAAAATCAATGATAAGGCAGGACCATTTTGAAGGACAAAGAATTCATCAATGGCCTCAATGATGCTAGGCTTTTGTGTCATTGCAATGAAATTCTGAAGACATCTTCGTATTTGTCTAGATAAATTATTTAGTGAAAGATCTAAAACTTGGATGGTCATCATATGACAAAAATGTAGTGGCAAATTTCAATAGAAGTAGTTTTTTGTCAAGCTAAGAACTTGCAATTTAGAAATTAAAGGCTAGATCCCATCCATGGAGGTATGGGTCCAGATAATTTATTTCGTCCCACATCCAACATTATCAAGTTGGTGCAATTCTTCAAGGATGGAAGTTGGCCTATGAAGTGATTGTTGCACAAAATCAAGTTGCGGACCAGAAGCAATGAATCCATAGAAGTCAGAATTTTTCCAAAGAATTCACTATCACTGAAATCAATAATTCTTAATCACTTTAAGTGATTCCAATAATTTTGAGGTTATCCTCTGAAGTGATTGCTTGACATGTTTAAATAGACCAAATTTTCCTTGGTTGAGCAAAGAAAAGAAGTCATTGTTGCTATATCTGAGATCCCAATATTAGAAACATTAACATGGATAAGGTCATTTTTTGTTTGAAGCCATATGGGAAAAGAAGGACCCAATGTGTAGGATTGCAAACTAAATTATTCCAATGGAATAAGAGGAGTCCAAACATTGCTAAATATCAAAGTAAAAGAGTTTCTAGATAAATCTTTCCCTCTTAATTTGGTGAGGTTAGCAAAAGGCCCCAAGTTTTTGATCTCACCTTTCAAAAAATTCCCTAAAACACTAAATTCTATCAATTCTAATATATTTTCAATTGATTTCAATAAAGATCCATTTAATTGATTGTTTTCAAGATACAGTGTTTGCAAGGATTTCATTATCTTGCCAAGATCATCTGGATGGGACCTTCTAAGAGGTTTGTCCTGAGATTGAGCTCTTGAAGACTAGAGTTGAAATGGAACAACCAAGGTAATATGAATGATGTAAGCTTGTTATGAGGTAGCTGAATATATTTAAGGGAATTAGAAAAACTTAGCTGGGAAGGATGCATTTGAAGAAGATCATAATCTGAAAGATTACAATTTGCGAGATATAGAAATTGGAGATTTGGTAACTGACCAAGCATTTGAAGCTAATTTTTTTATTTTGGAAGATTTGGCATGGTGCTTAACATAAGTTCAGTTAAAGAAGAAACATGAGACACCCATTGAATGTTAATTTAAAGATTGTCATTTGAATGAAGATAAATAACCTCTAATCTTGAAAGATTATGAAATTGGTGCGGAACTATGCCTGCAAGATGGTTGTTAAAGAGATAAAGTTCCTGCAAATTAGAAAGATTGTCTAGTTGCCATGGAACGTTTCCTTCTAGAAAGTTTCTTCCTAGAGCAAGAACTTTCACGAAGCCATAGTCTCCATGCTGACTCCATGAAGATAAAAAGCCATAGTCATCCACGAAGACCTTCTTCAGCTCCAAAAGTGTTTGCCTCTCCCTCTCCATGCAACTAATGTTTTTGTTTTGAGACAATGCACCTGCAAAACCCATAAACACAGTATAGGTTCAAGTTGTTTTAGATTATTTGGATGCATAGTCACTGGTCACTATGATCTTCTCGCTGGAACTTAGATTGCCCAAAACCTTTGAAATTAAACTTCAATTTTAACCATTTATTTTTCATTATGAAGATGAAGTACAACTTTTTTTAAGAAAAAACTTTATGATATTTTGACAGAAAATAATTTCATATGCTTATATTGACAAAACTTATAAATAATACAAAAAATTCAATGGACTGTGATGAAATAAATCATATGACTCAAGCATATTGATGATTGAAAGGATATTTACATAAATTATTACAAAAAAAATATTTGAAAAGATTGAATAAAAGACAAAACTTTGAGAACACGCCAAAGAAAGTCATCGTCTTGGCAAGCTTAATTTCTTCTAAAGAGACGTTTTTTTACTTTTTTTTTTTTGTTTTTTGAGTAAAAGAACAATGACAGGAAGTCATGTACAAAAAGAGAATAGAGAGGGACTTAGGCTCATTGTACAAGTCTAATACAACATGGTCTAATCTGGCCGAAAAAATCCTACTTGCGGATGGAGAGAGTATGAAAATTATTTTGACAAAATTATTATTATAGTCGTTTAATTTATTTGTTTACATACTTTTAATTTAATCTTTTATTTCTTTTTTCTTCAATGCCTAATCCTGTATTCATAAATGACAAACTGAGAGAAGAGGTTGTTTTTTTATTTTTATCATTAATGTTCGTCCTGGTGCAGTTAAGGGTAAAAGAGCAAATTAGTTTTTAAATTTGTTCAAGAATATCTAGAACCTTAAATTTACTTTTTGGTGCAATGTTCCCTTTAAGGTTTGAAAACAGTGCAACTTAGTTAAGTTTAATTATTAGTTGATCAAGAAATGATAGAAAAGAACCTCAAAATTAATTACAGAAAATAACAAAAAATACATTAAAATATCCAAAAATTACAGATAATGATCCAAAAAATTATAAAAAAGAAAGAAAATTTTGTTGGTCCTATTTTGGATTTTTTGATATCATTTTTTAGTCAACTAACAGTCAATAATATGATAATTACTCTTATATATATATATGCGCCCCAGTTTATGATATCTAAATTGATTAATATTTCAATCGTTGTGAACAAAAAAAAGTTTTTTATTTCAATCGTTCGGTTATTAAAAATATCACTAGTTTTCGGGCTTTCATTGTTTCGGCAAGGATTTGAAAAGGTATATATTTTTACTATAAGATTTATTTACCATAAGATTTATTTACCATTTAGATATAATTTATTTTATTATTTTTTAGAGTTAAAATTCAAAATGATTGCGAGCATTCAACATAAATGCATTATGATGAATTTCATTGAATCTTCAGTAAAATAAAAAATGGTAGGAATCTTAGAGTATTTAGGTTTGGATCAAGATGACGAAGTTCATTTGATTTTGTCTTTTTTTTTTTTTTTTGTTGAGCAAAACATTTGATTATGTCATTGTAAGAGATAACTTCGGGTGATGAATCCGTTAATAAAAAATACAAATCAGATGAACGATTGAAATTTGCGTGCATATTCATGGACCAATGTCATGACTAAATATTTGTTTATACAAAAACTAAAGCACCTTTGTCACATGGTATTTTTTTTTAAAATCAAAATACGGTATTTGTTAATTAGCTTGCTAATCCAAGCGACCATCATAGACATTTTTAGGCCTTGTATGGTATAAAGGACTAGGAGGGTGAAATTGAGACTAGAATTAAGTAATCCTACCTCTTCATGTTTGCTACATTATAATCAGAAATTTGTTAGAAAGCCCAGAAATAATGAACAGAAATAAATAGGATAAAATAATTAAAAATTGTAGAGAAGTTAAAAAAGTGATAAAAGATGATATAAGAAATTTAACATGGGAAACCCCCAATGGGAGGGATCACTAGCAGTAAGCAAGCGATAAATTTCACTATAAAAAATAGGAATTATAATAATTGTTTTTGCTATGGGAGATAGTGAGACAAGACATATATATATAGAACTTCTCATCTACTAAAAATTATTATCATGAATAATAAAATATTCCTCTTAAAATATTAAATAGAGATATGATATATTTACACCAAGATGATATATAAAAATAATCATAAAGAATTATAAAGATTTGAGTCATAATCTCAACAAACTTTCCCTTGACTCAAATTTTGCTAGATAGCCAACCGAATCAAGAATTTAAACTAAACTCTTGCAATCTTCAAGAGGTAATTCCTTCAAATTTCTGAGATTGGATAGATCAGGTATCAATATAATATATTGACAACCTCCAAGATTCAAAACACTCAAAATGTCTGAATTCTACAATAAAATTTAGCTAACAAGAATGCCCATAAGATAGGGTTCTTTTACCTTGATTGTTTCTAGCGAACTGAAATAACTTTGCTGAATGTTAAGTTCAACAAGCTTCATTGGGTGATAGTCAACGGAAAAACATGAAGAAGGATACCCTTTCCACTTTAACACTTTTAAGCTATTAGGAAGATATTTAGGACTTTTTGACCATTTCACATTATTAAGTTGAGTTGGATCTGGACCTTCAAATTTACAATTTAGGTGCAAATATTAATAATAAGAACTTCAACATGTTTCATAGTCTTGAAGGCTTCTCCACCCCAATTTACTCCCATGCATTCAAGCCAGTTGTCTTGAATTATAATACTGACTTCATTTGTGCCCTTTCAAACCAATAATAAATGCAAATAATGAGATATTATAAGTTTGATGCAAATCATGAGTAACATTAATTCACCACAAATTAAAAAAAAAATCAATGCCATACAAGGGAGGGCCAACAAGTAAATATAAAGCTAGCCCCAACCCAATCAATTTTTTGGGCTAGACCCATACCGTGTCCTTACATATGCAAAAATTTTATTTTTTTTTTCACTAAATATTTAGGAGGTTATTCAACTGAAATTGAAACAACAC